AACGGAAAACTTATAATGATTAAAATCTGAAATTTTGATGGAACCATTAACCAAAATCAATTTGTAAAACTTTATTTGTAAACCTCAAAACTAAACTAAGAAGCATATATACAATTTTTATCAATTAAACTAATTATTTAAATTTGGGCCCTAAAAACATGAATATGAGAAGGGGCCCTAGGCAGTTGCCTTATTCTTACTAAGGTAGGCACGGCCCTGCATGCACCAACAGTTTGATATTTTTGTGTTACTTCTTCCTCTTCTTTGTTTGTGTAATATTCTGCTTCATTTTCTTGGTCTATATTGTTTTTCTCCTCATTCTGTTATCATAGCATAGACATGGTTTTCTTCGTCTCCACTGGTAGTCCGCAACATCACCTCAAAGGACTAGCGTTTCCATCGTTTCAAATAGGAACAAGCTTTACCAACACGTTTATGAGATTGCATAGAGGTAACTCAAAATATAATCATACATATGTTAGATCCGAAGTGCTTTCCTAATTTTATGACCCAGAAGAGTGTGATATTGACGCATAATCAAAATTGTTCGAGCTCATCTATGTTTGGTGGTAAAGTCCTAAATCGTTTGAGTGATGAAGTCATCACTCTTCGAGATTATGTTGGAATCTGCAAATTGGTGACCATCTCAATGATCCGTTTAGTTGGTTCATTTGGTTCCAGACCCGACTCAAATTAAAATTTAATCTATATTTGATAAATTTGAAATTTTTAGGCATTTATGTATAATATTAGTAAATTTAGAGCCCGTAATTGCTAACAAAATTAATAGAAAAGTGGGGTCTGTGCAAATGTACATGTTGAACTCCCTTAAAATCGGGCATGTTTGGTTCCTTCACCGGTTTCACCAAATAATTCATGGTCTCGGCTCTTTTGGAGTCTCTTGAGTTCGTCCATCTTACCAAATTTAATTGGATTTCATCATGCACTTCACAGAGGAAGTTGGTCTTAACATCATTAATGCGTTCTTTGTTGCTTGCTTCGTATACCTCGATATCACAACGAAGTGGTATGAATCGAGGTTTGTTGATTGTGAAAAAAGGATAAAAGCGCTCTAATACCAATTGAAAATATTCCAAAGCAAAGCTAGACAACAAGAACAGAAAACCTTTTTTTCGTTTTTAAGTATACCCTATGTTGGAACCAATTTTTTATTAAAATCAAATGGGCTTGTTATAGACATTTGGGTATGAAAAATNGGTTTAAAATATGAAGGTGAAATGAGATAAGGCTTTTNGGCTAAATGGGAAAGNCCTTATGTTGGNTTNATGTATGCACACTTAAAATGTCCCACATCTAAAGTTTGAGACATTTTGGTAGTGTATATATAAGGGTGAGCTTGTGTAGAGTTCAAAACAGTACAAGGACACACATGCACCATGAAGGAACCAAGGGAAGCCCACACGCGCGCCGAACCGAACCGGGCTCG